GGCTGTGTTGACCAGTTGATGGAAGTATTTCAGATTGCATGTGAAAACCCCACACTGTATCCCAGAAGTGCATTAATGTACATAGTTACCGTTCAATAAAAAAAAAAGAAAAAAAAAAAAGAATAGATACTACTAGATCCTAGAAGCTGAAGAGAAAAAGACTTATGGAACCCCCTATCTGAGCACACACACATCATACACATGCATATGTGAACAGAGCTAGGCAGGTGGACACAGACAGAGATGAACTAGACCAGTTGGTCTCCAGAGTTCAGAATACAACTGGACAGCTCAGAGAATGATGGTTTTCAAGCTTAGAGGGGAAAGAGTTCTGTGGGCAGGAGCTGCCATGGAAAGTTTCCTGGAGGAGATGTTCCTTTGTTAGGTAAACAGAAGATCTGTGGCACTCTGACAGGAACACGGTGTTCAGAGAATCCAGTAGAATGAGTGTTGTGCTTAGTTAAAGGTGGTGTCTTCAGTGTAACTGAGCATAACTACAGTTTATCTGTAGCTTGTTGTCATTCTATTTCTGAGGCGCTGATACATAAAAGAGGAAGTGATCATGTCCTGTGTGGCCAAGGGCTCAGCACCCAAGACAGAAGTGCAAGGAGACAGGCAGGCTTTGGTACAGAATGAGGAGAAACCTGTTGACCATTAATGTCCTCTGGAAATGCAGAAGCATTTTGAGGAAGTAGAAGGCTCCCTTTCACTGGGCCACTTTTTTCTAGATGTGATGTGACTGCTTTCTTTCCCTGGCTCCCGCATAGATCATAGCCATACTCCATGGATTAGTTGTTTATTGTTGCAAACACACAACTCCAAAACTTAGTGACTTAAGCAGCATGTATTGCCTCAAATTTTCTGTGGGTCAAGATAGCATCATAGATTAGATGGATCATCTTTTTCAGGGTTTTCCACAAGGCTACAACTAACATGTTGGCTAGGACTGTGATCTCATCTGAAGTTTCAACTGGGAAAGGATTTACATCCAAGCTCACTTATATGGTTGGCAAAGTTCAGTGTCTTATGATTACAACTGAGGACTCAAGGTCTTTGTTGTCTGTTGGCCAGAGACCTCCCTCAGTTCCTTGTCACTTTTGTTTCTCCCATCTGTCAGCTTTCTTCGCCAAAGGCAGCACAAGAGAGTATTCTTTTGGTTAGAATTAAGTTGTTCAAAGGGAGGGAATTACACAAGGTCATGAATATAACAGGAGGCAAGAATAACTGGGGCCATCTTAGGTGGTGCTATTTACTCCAGATTCCACCAACATACAATGTCTTCCTTCAATCTGTGCAATTCCTCCTATTCCATGACACTTTTCAAACAAATGTCTTCTTGAAGTTATAAAGAAATACATAGACTGAAGACCTGTGCTAAGCTGTCCCCAAGATAGTTTTCCTTCCTCTCATTCCTTGCCTGTATTTTCATGTGTAAATTCTCCCCCATTGATCAAAGCCTTTCCAAAATCTTCCTCCTCCTTGAAGTTTCCCAGGGTCTACATGAAGTTCCCCCAAGTGTCCACAGCCATGCCCTTGAGCACTTGATTTAGAATCATCATGCCCACAGCTGCTGGTTCTACAATGCCATTTACAGAGGGTATTCCAAAGTAATTTTTAGCTCTACGACTTCTTTTCAAGAATTTTTAGCCATTTGAAGTTTGCAGAATTTAAGTGGAACATAAAAATGCTCTCCTCATGTCCTTCAATGGCCAAGTATGGAAAGCAATAAGAAGAAAGGAAAAGAAGTCTTCTTAGAGCGCTTTCAGCATAATTGGATCTTGGGGACATCCTCCCAGAAGTATAAAAAGTTCCATGACTTTGTATAATTTCACTTCCAAACTTTTAATCACTTTAGGGAGCATAGTCGTCCCAATCGCAGAACTGATTGCAAATTGCCTTTTACATTTACTGGGTATTGACTTGGAAATTTTGCCTAAAATATGGAACCAAGAATGAGTGGGAAGAACTAGCTTCCATTCCTTTCTTCAAATCAGAAGTGCACACCTCAACCTTGTTTTTCAAACTGATGTTGCTATTTCTGGTCCACATAGTGTTCCTAAGCCATAGAGATCCTTTTGCAATAGGTTCCTGAGAAAGGTAAGTGAGGGTTATTACAAGAGTAATACTTAGCCTTTTATTAGCACTGTAACATTTCTAACTTCTGATTTGATTTTCCAAGGAGGTTAGTGCTTGAGAAGGGTAGAAGTGACTTAATTTCAGTGATATCATAAAGACTGAAGGCCATGCAAAACCCATTCTCATTGGGTCAGAAAAAGCAAGAAACATGTGAAACTTTTCAGTCTTAAGTATTGAACTCACTTAACATCAGAGACTCACTTAGAAATGAGGTGGTCTCAGGGTTTCAGAGCTACTTCTGATGATTTTCCACAAACCCAGGAAATTCCTGAGTTTTTAGAAGCTCAACCACCATCATATGAATGAGAGACACTTAGAAACTTGGATCAGTATGAAGAATTTTCTGATACTTCAGAGCTCTGCAAACATGGAGTGGGCTGTTTGGGAATGTAATGAGCTCTTCATCACTAGGAGATATTAAGCTGAAACTGAAACGCTATGCATCAGTGTTGCACAGAAGAGGATCTCCAATGAAAGGGAAGGTTGGGTTAGATTATCTGGGAAGTATGATCAGTGTCAGGGTCTAAATCTGGAAGACATATCTAGCAACTGAGCCAAAAGGCTCAAGAACTCTTATGTGCACTGGTTCCAGTGTGTGCATTCACCCAGAAGGAAGGAGATCCTGTAGAATGGTAAGCAAAAAAAGCACTGCTTTAGTTACCTAAGAGAACTAAATTTCTAAACTAAGGTATGAGTCACTATAGGGTTCTGGGGCCAGCCCTCTTTTTGTCCTCATGGAACATAAGATTCCAACTATTAGAGACATATCAGAATTTCCAGAGCATGAAGGTACCTTGGAAACCTCTTCCCTTTCCCTCACAGTTCTTCATGTCCAGTCTCCTTTTATCCTTAAAGACCCAGCTGGAATCTATAAAACCAAGGGAGCCTTCCATGATCACTGTTCCCACAAATACTCAGGGTGTCCTTTTGGTGCTCTGGCCTTTACCGAACCCTTCTGGTTCCCCTTCCTACCTAGTTGAGAGATCATTTAAACCTGGACCATGGGTCATCCTGGTACTCACAGAAATTGTTATACCTATATTAGTGTTGATCAATAATTATTTTAGAGGATAGATGTTCAGACATGAATGGATGGGTGAATGGATAGATGGATGAATAGGTGGATGGATAGATGAATGGCTGGATAGGTGGATGAATGAGTGGATGGATGGAAGGAAGGATGGATAGAAGGAAGGATGGATAGATAGAAAGCCCTGGGGATGATTTTGCCCATGAAAAAGATGATCTTGGGAAAAACAAGTGTCTGTTGTCTATGTGAATTATCTGAAGAGAAGAAATATCTACCAGATGAGGATTCACAACAAAGTTTTATCACTGGTATCTGGCACAAAGTGGGGGAACATGGAGCAAACTTGAAGTTACTTTTCTGGTGAAAATTTAATGAGATGAATTGCCATGTAGAATATAGCACTATTAAAACGAATGTGCTATATATCTTTGTTGCATTAATCAAATGCATTAAATTATCAGAGGCATCATTTTAACTCTTGTAAATTTGATATCCTAACGGCCCCAAAATAATTTCTGATTTTCTTGGATATAAATAAATATTACAGGCTTTCAAAACTGTTTTTAATCATCTAACCAGACTAGAACTTCAGACCAGACCCCCTGGTCCTATGCAAGGCAAAGAATGTTGAGTGTGGACCTCTGATACTTTCTTCACGTGACAGAAGAGGTGCACCATGGGACCTGCCAACCAGACAACCTCTGTGACGGAGTTTGTTCTCTTGGGCCTCTCTGCCCACCCAAAGCTGGAGAAAACATTCTTTGTGCTCATCCTGTCGATGTACTTGGTGGTCCTGCTGGGCAATGGGGTCCTCATCCTGGTGACCATCCTGGACTCCCGCCTGCACACAACCATGTACTTCTTCCTGGGGAATCTCTCCTTCCTGGACATCTGCTATACAAGCTCCTCAGTCCCCCTCATCCTTGACAGCTTCCTGACCCCCAGGAAAACCATCTCCTTCTCAGCCTGTGCTGTGCAGATGTTCCTGTCCTTTGCCATGGGGTCGACAGAGTGTGTGCTCCTGAGCATGATGGCATTTGATCGCTATGTGGCTATCTGCAACCCCCTTAGATACCCTGTGGTCATGAGCAAGGCTGCTTACATCCCCATGGCTATTGGCTCTTGGGTGGCTGGAAGTGCTGCCTCGATGGTTCAAACATCCCTTGCTATGAGGCTGCCATTCTGTGGGGATAATGTCATCAACCACTTCACCTGTGAGATCCTGGCTGTCCTGAAGTTGGCCTGTACTGACATCTCTGTCAATATCATCAGCATGGGGGTGACAAATGTGATCTTCCTAGGGATCCCAGTCCTGTTCATCTCTTTCTCCTATGTGTTCATCATTGCCACCATCCTGAGGATCCCCTCTGCTGAGGGGAGGAAAAAGGCCTTCTCCACCTGCTCTGCCCACCTCACAGT